CAGTAAACTGGGACAGCCATTGTTACAGGGTGCCAACATGTGGCCGCTCTCGGCCAGATCGTTAATGCAAACACTCCAAATTTACTCAATGCTGCCCCCGCCCCCCTCCAATGTATCATTTAATTGTATGCGCTCGTTCTTGCCTGTCATGTTAACATCATGCATACATTTTTCCAGCCTTCTTTGTGAAATACGTACATCTATGTAAAACGGCTAGTTTTGATTGCAGATTTCACTGACAGGAGGACTGTTTAAAGATTACTGGGATCGTTGTACATTATTAAACCACAAATCAAAACTATTCTCATTAAAATAGGACTTTTAAAAGTATTTAATTCTGTCCTCAGTCGGCATAGTAACCGGGAAGAATGATAATACAAAGTGGCAGTAAATGAGAGGGAGCAAGTTCTCCACGCTAGAAACAATCCCAGCTCCCAAAGTTATGTCAAAAAGCCACCTATTGTGGTGCAAGTAAATTAACTTAGACAGTAGAATCGACAGTTAAACCAGTTGGATTTCATGACACAGACAAATTGAGCGCTGGCTGCACTCAAGCCATGCGCTTACTGCCATGGCTTAGAACTCTGCCGAAACCGCCGGGTTTGGACCAAACGAAGCATCCTAACCTGCCAAAAACACTTAGTATTGGCAATAGGCATTGATTCGCGCTACTGTTTTCATTAAATAACGCAGCGTTTATTTAATAGTAACTATTCCGTATATTTTATTCAGGATATTGTTTGTTCGCAATGATAATACATTCTCATCCCTTTACTTACAAGTTAAATCCACATTGAAAAATCCGTTAAGCTTTCGTTACTGTTGTGGATGGTTCACCAGATGTAGTCTAGGATTGTTTACGCTTCGGATTATCGGGATAGGTCGATTTTGCGTCATCAGACGCAATTTGGTGCAAGCATTAGTGTCTTGAGTGAAATATTTTACACGCGATTTTACGTCCTTTTTGTCCATGCATATAAATGTTTGTTAACAAGAGATTTATCAACTCTCAATACTTGTGACATTTTTTGGGACGTTAGACACAGACCATGACCAATTAAAGTTTCCCATTCCCCATCTTCAAATTCTTTCGGTTATCCTGAACGTACCTTATATCATAGTTCCAAATCATTACTTTTTAAGCGTTCAAATCATTTCCTATACGTTCGATCAAAGACAGCATGTTCATCATAATTTGTCCCAGTTTATGATTCAAACAAAAAGCCCTGGTTCACGAAGATGCTTCTTTTAGGCACAAAAACTTCCATCTTTCCTAAAATAAAGACATAATGTTAACGTTTCCACTAAATACCATAATCTAAATAGGACAACAATGCTCAATTACTCCATATTACATGTGCTACCATTTTGCTTGCCTGAAAGAAATTCCCATTAAAAAAATTGAATGGAAACGGTTCGATTGAAATTTGCAACCTAATAATTACAGTTGGCCGATTCTACATGTATTGCTTAGGCGATTCTGCTTGGACAGTTTGTTTAGTGTATCAGAATTGGTAGAGTTCAGAAGCTGCGACAGTCTCACCCACAGGTGAGGTAGACAGAGGGTTGGTTGTACTAAAGCCTTCGCAGAAAACGGTAGCTACCGTGTTCTGCTAATGTCTCTGATAATGAATCCGCGACGGATGTCTGCTTACAATAACTTCTAATACACCGGAGTTTCCTCGAGAATACCTCCACTGAGAAGAAGACGACTCGATCGCTGGGACAATACCTTTATTCGCCTGAAGTTTCGAGATCCGCCGCGGATTCGTCATCAGAGACATAGTCAGAGCGACCGGGTGAGCTGAGAATTACCTGAGTTATGGTTCACGGGCCCCCAATCCATAAACAAGTGCAACGATTTGCCC